ATTAGGTGCAATGGCTGGAGCTGAGCCTATCCAAAAACAGGAGCATGGAGCTTCTTCCAGGTCTCCCACTTGGGTGCAGGTGCCCAACCACTTGGGCCATCTTCCACTGTTTTTCCAAGTTACAAGCAGAGATCTGGATCAGAAGAGGAGCTGACAGTACACAAACCGGCACCCATAGGGGATTCCAGTGCCATAGGCTTTGCCCAATACGCCACAGAGCTGGCTCCAATTGTCCAAGTTTTAAGAGAAAAAAACTGTTAACCTAGAATACTGTATCCCGTAAAGTTCTCATTTATGAATGAAGGTGAAATAAAGACCTTTCAAAACAAACAGAAATTGAAGGAATTTGTCACCAATCATCCAACCTTACAAAAGAGGTTTAAGGATGTGCAACACACAGAAAGGTAGTCATCATTATGAAAGAATCTGAAGGCAGAGAATCTCCCCGTGAAAGTACAAAGGAAATCCAGAACAAAAACATGAATATTCATGGAAAAATGTCAGGATCGAGTCATTACTTATCAATAGTAACCTTGAATATAAGTGGCCTCAACTCTCTACTTAAAAGATACAGACTGGCTGAATGGGTTAACAAACAAGACCCAAGTATTTGCTCCCTACAAGAAACACACCTCACCAACAAAGATATACACAGACTGAAAATGAAAGGACAGAAAAAGATATTTCATACTAACAGAAAGTAAAAAAGAGCCAGTATATCCATTCTAAAATCAGATGAAACAGAATTTAACAAAAAAAGGTTTAAAAGAGACAAGAGAGGGGTACTAGGTAATTATTGAGGGATCAATTCAACAGGAAGATGTGACTATAATAAATGTATATGCACCAAATTTCAGGGAACCTGGCTATTTAAAAGAAATGTTAAGGAATCTAAAGGGAGACATCAACTCCAATACAATAATAATGGGCGACTTCAACACCCCACATTTAGCAACAGATGGATCAACCAGACAGAAAATCAGCAAGGAAACTGCAGAGCTAATAGACACTATGGACTAAATGGACTTAACTGATATCTACAGAACTTTTCATCCCACAGTTCCAGAATAGACATTCATCTCAGCAGTGCATGGAACTTTCTCTAGGATAGACCATATACTAGGCCACAATGCAAGTCTCAGGAAATTAAAAAGAAATGGAAATTATACCATGCATCTTCTCTGACCACAATGGAATGAAGCTGGAATTCAACAATTCAAGAATCTCTAGAACATATGCAAATTCATGGAGACTGAACAACATGTTCCTGAAAGAACAGTGGGTCACAGAAGAAATCTCAAGAGAAATGAAAAATTCTCTGGAAACAAAGGAAGATGACAACACATCATGTCAAAATTTATGGGATACAGCAAAAGCAGTGTTAAGAGGGGAGTTTGTAGCAATTGGAGCTTACATCAAGGAATTTGAAAGGCACCAAATAAATGAGCTATCATTACTTCTCACGGACCTAGAAAAACAATAGCAAACCAAACCCCAAATTAGTAGGATGAAAGAAATAATTAAAATTAGAGAAGACACAAACAAACTAGCAACCAAAAACATACAATACAAAAGATCAAGGAAATGAAGAGCTGGTTATTTGAAAAAGTAAACAAAATTGACTCAGCATTGCCCCAACTAACCAAAAAAAGGGGCAAAAAAAAGACCCAAATCAATACAATCAGAGATGAAAAAGCAACTGTAACAACAGGTACCAAAGAGAAAAAAGGAATCAGCAGAAATGACTGCAATGTGCTATGTGCCAACAGTTAGGAACTATAGAAGAAATGGATCTATTCCTGGACCCATACAATGTACCAAAACTGAGTCATGGAAACATAGAAAACTTAAACAGACCAATAACCAAGACGGAGATTGAAAGAGTAATGAAGACCCTCCCAACAATGAAAAGCACAGGATTGAATAGTTTCACTTACCAGACATTTAAAGGAAAACTAACTCCAATTCTTCTCACGCCCTTCAAAACAACTGAAAAAGAGGGAATCCTCCCAAACTCCTTCTATGAGGCTAGCATCACCTTAATTCCTAAACCAGAAAAAGATACAACGGAGAAAGAGAACTACAGATCAATTCCCCTGGTGAACAGAGATGCAAAAGTCCCCAAGAAAATATTAGCTAATTGAATCCAACAATACAGCAGAAAGATCATTCACTTGGACCAAGTGGCATTTATCCCTGATATTCGGGGATGGTTCAACATTAGCAAATTAATCAATGTGATGCATCACATTAACAAACTAAAGAAAAAAAACCACATGTTTCTCTCAATAGATGCAGAGAAAGCATTTGATAAAATACAACACTCTTTCATGATGAAAACCTTAAGCAAATTGGGTATTGAAGGAACATTCCTCAATACAACCTAGGCAATTTATGACAAACCCATGGCCAGCATCTTTGGAAGCATTCCCCCTAAGATCTGGAACCAGACAAGTATGCCCAGTATTACCATTACTACTTAATATAGTTCTGAAAGTTTTACCCAGATCCATTAGGCAAGAAAAAGAAATTGTAGGATACCAATTGGAAAGGAGGAAAACTATCCCTTTTTACAGATGACATGATTCTATATTTAGGGGATTCCAATAAGAGACTATGGGAATTTATAAAATTGTTTGGTAAAGTGGCAGGGTATAAAATTAACACAGAAAAATCAATAACCTTTGTATACACAGAAAGAATGTTTAAGATTCATCCCATTCACCATAGCTACAAAAATGTTTAATTCCTTGGAATAAATTTATCCAAGGAGGTAAAAAATCTCTATGATGCAAATTACAGGACATTAAAGAATGAAATAGAAGAAGACAGAAAAAATCTTCCATGTTCATGGATTGGAAGAATCAATATCATAAAAAATGTCCATACTACTGAAAGAAATTTACAGATTCAATGCAAATCCAATCAAAATACCAATGGCATTCTTCTAAGGTTTTAAAAAAAATGATGCTAAAATTTATATGGAACCACAAGAAACCCCAAATACCTAAAGCAATATTTCACAACAAAAATAAAGCCAGAGGAATCACAATACCAGGTTTGAAGACATAATACATGGCAGTTATAATGAAAACAGCCTAATAGCAGCACAAAAACAGGCATGTGGACCAATGGAACAGAATAGAAACTCCAGAAATCATTCCACGCATCTACAACCAATTTAGCTTTGACAAAGGAGCTAAATTCATTCCCTGGATCAAGGACAGTCTCTTCAACAAATGGTGCTGGTAAAACTGGATCTCCACATGCAAAAGTAGGAAATTAGACCCCTACCTTACCCCTTACACAAAAAATCCACTCAACATGGATCAAAGATTAAATCTACAGGCTGATAACATCAAATTACTAGAAAATATTGCAAAAAACCTGCAAGACATTGGCATAGGTGAAGGCCTCTTGGGAAAAAAACTGCAGAAGCACAGGCAATCAAAACCAAAATTGACAAATGGAATTACATACAGCTGAGAGGCTTTTGCAGTGCAAAAAGAACATTCAGCAAAATGAAAAGGCAACTGGCAGAATGGGGGAAATTTTTTCAAACTATGAAACTGATAAAGGATTAATATCCAGAATATATAAAGAGATCAAGAAACTCAACAACAAACAATCCATTTAAGAAATGGGCAAAGAATTTGAACAGATATGTTTCAAAAGAGCAAATCCAAATGGCCAACAGACATACGAAAAATTGCTCAGAATCACCATCTCACTCCTGGTAATTTACTCAAGGGAATTGAAAGCAGCTTGCTCTCTCACTCTCGCTATTGTTTCTGTCCTGGTTGGTTAAGAAATAAAAAAGTTAAAATAATCACACTTCCTCTGGTGACAGACTGCTTCTTTTCCTCCTGTCTCTAATGCTGGCATGCCCAATGACCTTAGGAAAGATGCTGAATCTCTCTGTGCTTGATTCTTACTTTGTGATAAGGCTGGGGGAATGAGTGAGAAAGGGATTGGAGAAGCCAATGAAGATGAATTAGTATGGATCTATAGTCCTTAGCAGAGTTCCAGGCACACATGGCATGTGGTATAATCTGCATTCCACGGATTCTGGAAAATCACTGTTCAAAGGCTGCTTCTCCCTTTGCCCCCAGCAGAGGGCGAAAGCACGGGCTTGCTCACATTCTCTGCTATCCTTGGACTGCTTTAGCTGTTTAATTGTAGCAAACATGGCATCGCAAAATTGATTTCCAGTTGTATCTTCGTGATCAGTGATTGTATCTCTTGGGGTTGTCGACTGAGCTTTGGAAAACCCACTTGTATGATTTAACTTGGAATGTAAGTACTTGGAGTTTAGGGGTATGGTACCTTTGGGGGCAAACTGTCCACCAAACCAGCAGGCCAACAAAAAGTGTCATGAGCTCTGATTACACATCTAAAAGAATCTTTTGCAACAAAGACGGCCCAAGGATAAATTCTAAAATATTTGCTATGTGTGCAGTTAGGGGAAATGGAGTTTTCCTCTGATCACTGAGAACGGGCTTCCCTGCCTATTTTGCTATCAGGACGTAGATCTACTTATGGCACGGAGGCTTGCCAATCCTTTTTACTCTGAGGGCTTTACAGTCATCATTATCTTCATTTGTATACAGCCCTGAGCCAGATGGTGTTATCACCCTGAACCGTGGGGAAGCTGTACCATGGGGAAGCCGAGGCTCTGAGACTTGGATGTCCTTCAAAAGCAGATCAGGAGTGCCTGTGCAGATGTAGTGAGAAAAACAGAGGTGGGACAATCCCTGCTCAGTCTTCACCACTGGGGCTGTCTGCCGATCTGCCCCTTCAGTCTCCTTGCTTGGCAACCGTACGAGCACCTTTGTTCCTATTGGCTGGTGCCTGGAAGGGTGGCCCAAGAGAAAGCACGCTGATTGGCTGGAAACTGACAAATGGGAACAGCACGGCGTCCTGCAGAAAATTTGAACGGAAGTCTCGCAGTGTTTGAGAAGCTTCCCTACAACCCTTGCGATAACGGCCTTACGTAGATCTGTGTTCTTGCCACATCCTGGCTGTTCCTCAGCGAGGATCATGGGCAGATCGACCGACTCCTTTTAGCGTAGTCTGTCTAGACTTGCTATCAGAGTAAGATGTCTGGTTTTGGCGATGGTACTGGCCCAAAGAATGAGAAGCAGGTCAGCCGTGGTGGCCTTGGAGCCCCTTGGGAACCTGGACTAGCCTTGGATTTGGGGCCAACGGGAAATGATGAGGGCCGAAGTCAAGGCCCAGACCAGGCAGAGGGCTGTCTCTCAAGCCTGCAGGCCATCCCGTGGCAACTAGAGTTGGACTCTGGGTCAGAGCCAGAGCTGGAAGTGATCCAGGCGGGAGTGGCCGGGCTTTGGGGCAATGAGGATCGGCCTAGCACTCCTGCCCCTAACAGGAAGGGTGCTGTAGCATCCATGTCCCGGTTCACTGAGGGGTGTGCAGACATTGTGCAGCCACTGAGCCACACAGGTTTCCAGGCCATGCGCAGATTCCAGAGCATAGAAAGCCGCGCCACCCAAGCGGCCGCCATTAGGGCGCACGTTGAGGCAGGACCCGGTGGTAGAGGCGCGCTGGGCTGGAGCTGTGTGGAGTCGATGCAGGCTTGTGCTGCCCCACGGCACGTGAATGCTCCCGGGAAAGAAGGCCGCGGCCGGCGCCATAGTAAGAGAAGAGCTGCCAGACGTCGTTCGAGCACCAACACTGATGACCAGCGCACCTGTGGTGAAGGCCTGGCAGGGCTGCCTCCGGACACCGAGTCCTCCGATGATCTTAGGGACATGCAGCTCAGGGGGGCGGGCATTCATCTGAAACGGGATAGCCAGGCCAAGTGTAGTAATCTAGCGCAACCAGCAGAGAGCCCCAGACGCTTGATGTTTCATCGCAGGGAGACTTTCCCTCACATTTCAGGCCCTGTCTTGACCTCTACTGTCTGGGGTCTCACTTGCGCCATGGAAAGGCAGGTCCTGGGCGAGTCAATGCCCTCTTCCTCAACTTCCTCAAAGAAAATGCAGAAGGGAGGGGGCAGGCCTAGATTCCCAAGGGGTGATGCTGCTGCTACTGGTGGTGGTACAGAGGTCCTTCCTCAGGCCAGTCCTAGGAGGCAGTCGTCACAGGAGAAGAAATCCCCAGGGAATGCCCCTGGAGTTGTGCTGGGGACAATCTTTTCACCATGGGGCAAGAGACAAGCTGCAGCTCCCATTGATCCAGCCACTATCCCTCCAGTGTCTGGTATTTCACTGCTTAGGAAGTCCAGCACATCTTCTTCGCTCCCTTGGGAACCCAAACAGTCTAAGCAGGGCTGTGCTGGGAAGAAATCTGGGGCCAGGAGGAAGTCCCAGTCTGTGGATGCAGGAGAGTTTGACCCAAATAGAAGTCCAGAACAAAGGGCCTACGTGAGTATGCCTTCCTCTTCCTCCTCCCACTCTTTATATATGTCTGTCCCTGTTCCCCTTCCCAATCTTTCTCCCCACCCCCAGCACACACCTCTCCACCTCTGCTACATATATCACTTATTCAGTTGTAGTTTGGGAGCCCTTGGTCATTATGATGCCAAAATTGGGTACTGAAGGTTGGAACAAAGTTTAGAGTACTCTTGGTATTCTGCAAGCCCTGTTCCTGACACTTGCATAATTCCTGCCTCTGCCCCAAGGAATAGATGGGATGGAAGGCAGAAAGCTGATTTTGCACGGGTCAGGTGACATCTGATGCACTCATCTGCAAAGCTTCAATGTTTGGTTTCCTTGGCTCCTTGCAACCCTGTTTTACAGGGGGCCTGGGCTTATTATCCCCATACTTCTCCCTGGCTCAGCTGTATCTCCTGGTCTTGAGCTCACTGAGTGACAAAGAGCTGATGAGATGAGATTCTAAATTGCCCTCCCTATTACAGAAATATCTCACCTCAGATCCAAATACACTGACTCCCACACACTAGCCTGATTATGAGAAATTTCTTTTTTAGCTTCCAGCTCGCAGGTCAGGGAGGCCTTGTTGGTATGTACCTCATGGAGAATTCAGCACTGGGGACTCTGACACCCAAGATCCACAAGTCGCAGCAAATTTTCAGCCTTTATCCCCAAGCCAGGGAGGTGCCACATCTAGAGGTCCTACAATCTCTGGTGAGTCCAGGGGGGTTTGATTCTAGTGAAGGGGCAGGGTGGAGGAGGAAAACCTCTGGATATGTCACTTTTGGGGGATCAGCCTTGCTCCCAGGATTCCCTGCCTACCCGGGCAGCTCACCCACTGGAAACAGATGTCATCAGTGTTTTCCTTAGGTCAAATCATTCTAACAGTATGGTTGTGAGGTAGGGGAAGGCTTTGGCAGTGCCCCAAGCTCCAAAATCAGTAGTGGGTCAATACAGCAGAGCATTTCCTACAATGACTTGTACAGCAATGTGGCTCCTCCCTGGAGCTGGCTGGAGCTGTGACTCTGCTAGCATGCAACCCATATTCACAGTCTTAGGGGTCCATAGTCACATGCACATTGACACTAGGGGAACATGGAAGGCAGGCCCAGAGAGAGGGCTGAAGTCCCTGGGCAGAGCTGGGGCAACAGGTTGCCAGGAGAGGATGAGGCTGCCTCACAATAGAACCGGCCTGGTCCTTTCCACCTCATGCCTGGTCTGGGAAGCTGGATTTTGCCTTCTCTTTCAGGTGAACAGGAGCCACCTGTCCCTCTTCAGAGACCAGAAATGGAGCAGTTACCACCTGGAATCGAGGGCTGTCCTCGGGTAATGCTGTCTCTGATTTCTAGAAATGCAGGTCCAAATTAGATGGTGGGATCTGTGTCCAGGTCAGGCTGATTCCAGGGTCCCCTACTCACCATCCCATACTCCATGGAGAAAGGGCAACTCTTTTTATTGAGGATTCCAATCCAGCATGGCCACTGAGCTGTGGGAGGTGCTAAATATAAGGGCCAGGGGCATGGATGGGGAGAGAGGAGGCCATAATATCCTCTCTCTCTCTCTCTCTCTCTCTCTCTCTCTCTCTCTCTCTCTCATTCGTTGTGCCAGTGTGCCGTGCTACAGCAGGAAATAGAAGACCTTAGAGAAGAAATAGGTATGACAAACCACAGGCAGGGGATTGGACTGGGGAAGACCAAGTAGTCGTTGTCAGCTGCCAAGCATCGGGTGGAGATGGGTTGCAGGTGTGGGCAGAATCACTGGGAACTTAGTTTCTGTGGGGAGGAGAACTAATCAGGCTTGCCTTGAAACCTAGTGTGCATTTGTTGCTAGGTGGTGCACAAGAAGTGCATTGTCTGAGCTGCACGTGCACTTCGCCAAAGAGTCCCAGAGATCTTTTTCTTTAGGACATTTAGAGCTACTACATGTGTTTGCCATGGAAGTGTTGCTTGCTATGGCTTCTGTACTTTTTTCTGTTGTTTGATTGTTTGCTTTTTTTTTTTTTAACATGTTCTGAATGGTTCTGATCTAACCCAACGTTTGAAAACAACTTTTACATTTTGTTCCTCTTTAGAAGACGCTACCACATGTAATTCAGGTGATGGGTGGGTGGGTCTGTCTCAGTGCTGTTTGGATGGGAGCGCAGCATTTGTAGCTGGAGGGGCAAGGTGAATCCTCTCCCCAGGGGCACAGGTGCAGGTTTCCATAGGCCTATGTCTGAAGTGCTGTGTTGTGTTTCTGTGTTTCAGTGCTGATACAGTCCTTCATAGAGAAGTTCCAGGGGCTATGAAGTGAGTGTTACACATACCATGCCCCTTTGCCACAATCCTAGCTGTTTAGGAGGGATGTGTGCAGGCCCTGGCTCTGTCATGGCTTTGACTTGACTCTGCTTTGCTTCATAGGTTGAACTGAACATCTTCTACCAGACAAGATATCAGTGGACCCCAGGAGCTGCGTTCCAGCTGCTTCCCTCCTCTTCCTCTTCACCAGAGCTTCTTTTTATAAGAACGTTTTATTGAAACACTGTGTACACAATAAGAAATACACAAAATTGTATAGATAAATGTGTTTTTATTTTCTGATTCCACTCACAAGCAACCCCCAAATTTATTAGAAAACATTAGGAGTACCCCAAGAATCTTCACTGTTCTCCCTCTACACTTTTTCTTTTAATGTGAGAAATTGTCATTTACATGGTATGATTCGGGGAAAAAATATTCATAACTATACCAAAGGATAAGATGTCAACACAATTTTTTTTTGGTTTCTTCTGTGTATTAACTACCACAGATGAGAGAAAACCTATGACATTCTTCCTTTTGGATCTGGTTTATTTAGCTTAGCATAATCTTCAGTTGCATCTGTTTTGTGTATATATACCATATTTTTTCCTTTTTGTTTTTTAAAGATTTATGTATTTATTTGAAAGTCAGGGAGAGAGAAAGAGAGAGAGAGAGAGATCCTCCATCAGCTGGTTCACTCTCCAAACAGCCGCAATGGCGGGGCCAAAGCCAGGAGCCAGGAGCTTTATCCAGTCTTCCACATGGGTGCAGAGGCTGAAGGACCTGGGTCATCCTCCACTACTTTCCCAGGTCATTATCAGGGAGCTGGATTGGAAGCGGAGCAGCCAGGACTTAAATCGGTACCTATATGGGATGATGGCACTACAGGTGGCAGCTTTACCCACTACCAGCTCCTCTTTCTTTTTTTAAAGATGTGTTTATTTATTTTGAAAGTCAGAGTTAAAGAGAGGGAAAGAGAGACAGAATTTTCAATCCACTAGTACACTACCCTGATGATTGCAATGGTGTGGCTGAGCCAGTCGAAGCCTGGAGCCTGGAGCTTCATCCAGATCTCCTCTGTGGGTGGCAGGAGCCCAAACACTTGAGTCATTATCCACTGCTTTCCCTGTCCATCAGCAAGGAGCTGGATTGGAAGTGGAGCATACGGGACAGAAACCAGGGCCCATGTGGAATGCCAGCATTGCAGGTGGTGGCTTTACCCACTGTGCCACAAACCTGGCCCCCATATTTTCTTTATCCAGTTATCAGTTGATGGACATCTAAGTTGGTTCCATATCATTGCTATTGGGAATGACCATAAACATGGAAGTGCAGGAAGCTCTTTGGTATGCTGATGTTACTTCATTTGGATATATTCCAAGAAATGGGATTGCTGGGTCATAGGGTTGATCTATTTTGAGAATTCTGAGTACTCTGCATAGAATCTTCCTTAATAGTTGTTTGTTCCAGTTTTCATTCCCAATAAGAGTGTATTAGGGGGGCCGGCACTGTGGTGTAACAGGTAAAGCTGACGCCTGCAGTGCTGGCATCCCATATGGAGGCTGGTTTGAGTCCCGACTGCTCCACTTTCAATCCAGCTCTCTGCTGTGGCCTGGGAAAGCAGTGGAAGATGGCCCAAGTGCTTGGGCCCCTGCACTCACATGGGAAACCTGAAAGAAGCTCCTGATTCCTGTGTTTGGATAGGCTCAGCTCCAGCCATTGCAGCCATTTGTGGAGTGAACCAGTGGATAGAAGATTTGTCTCTCTGTATCTCCCTCTCTCCTTCTGTGACTCTGCTTCTCAAATAAATCAGTTTTAATAAAAGACCTTGACTAAGTCTTTCTATTATCTCAACTTTAAAGTTTCTGATGAGAAGTCAGCTGTGAGTATAATTGGAGATCCTCTGAAAGTAATCTGATGTTTCTATTGTACACATTGTAGAATCTTTTCCTTATGTTTTACTGTGGAGAGATTGACTATAATGTGTTAAGGAGAAGACCTTTTCTGGTCATGTCCATTAGGAGTGCTATGTGCTTCCTGTATTTGGACATCTCTTTATTTTTCCCAATTCGGGAGTTCTCTGTAATTATTTAACTAAATAGTCCTTCTTATCCATTTTCTCTTTCCACACTTTCAGGAGCTCCTAAGACCCATATATTGGGTCGTTTTGATAGTACACCATAAATCTCCAACACTGTTTTTAATTTTTTCTAATTTCTTCTTTTTTTTTGAACTGACTGAAGAATATCCAAAGATTTTTCTTCTCTCTCAGATATTCTTTATTCTGCCTCTTCAAGTCTGTTGTTAAGGCTTTCCACCACATTTTTTTATATGATCTATTGATCTCTCCATTTTGAGTGTTTTAGTTTGATTTTTCTTTGAGACCTGAAATTCATAGAAAAATTTTTCATTCATTTCATGTATGGTTTTCTTGAATTCTTGGATTTACTTCTGATTGATTCTGAATTGTCCTATGATTAATTTTTTGAATTCCATTTCAGGAATTTCATCCATCTCTTCAACTTCACATTCTAATAGTGAAATATTATTGTGTTCCCTTTGGGGCATCATGTTGTCTTCCTTAATGTTGTTTCTTGAGTTCCTGCATTTTTTGACATTTGTGGAGTTATTTGTTGATTTTTTTCTCCGATGGCTTTTTTCTTTGATCTCTGCCTCTGTGGCTTAGTGGAATGTTTGCTCTTTCAGTGAATACTCAGAGGTGCGTGCTGGTTGCGGTCAGGGAGCTCTCGTTAGTGCTCCATGGTGGGGCAAGTATGGAGGGTGATACAGAAGTTGGGCATGGTAGATCTCCTCTTGTTAACAGAAGAGGTGGTATGTTCGCCTCTTTTGGTTTGACCATACCCTCTTCTCCTCTCTTCTACGATAATTAGTGCCGAGTGTTAGTCTATGGTGGGTGTAGTACTCAACTGTGCTTCCACATGGACTGCACCAAGGAACTGTGCAGTCCTCAGTGTGAGCCCAGATCTCATTCCATTGACCCACCCTAGGCAATCAGGGAGCTGTGAGGATATTTAGCGGGTCACAGTGATTGCCCTGTGCCCTCTCACACAGTCACAGTGTTTTCACATTCTCAGCACCCAGGGCTCCTATGCTCAAAGAGTGCAAGAAGATCCACTCCACCCCACTAACCTGTCCCATCCACAGAGTGACTGAGAGGCTCCCAGAGCTGCTGGCCATGTGTGTTCCACCAAGGTGGTTTGAGACTGATCCTTCTAGCTGGACTCAAAGTAGGGAACACAGATTTTATCCTATGGTAAAATCCCTGGATCACACGCATGCACAATGCCCACCGGCTTTAGCCCCACTCATTTCACAATTGTGTACCAGAGTCCTCACTGACAAGATGGAAACAGTTCCCACCAATTGCAACGAAATTGCTATGGTTGCCCCTGGCAACAGGATGGAGACTCTCGCTACTAGTTGCTGGGTTCACAAACAAGAGCTGCAGCAGCTGCTACCTGCTTATGTCCAAAATGGTACCAGCCCTCCCACAGCTGTCTGCAGGACAGTGCTGTGGAGGGGGCATGGAGAGAGAGAGAGAGATGTGCTGCTTTTTTATTCCCTCTGGGTGAGCAGTCACCCTGTTCTCCTCAGGGTTCTGGGCCAGACTCAAAGACAGTGTAGTCCACTAGGCTCTCCCTCCAACTGTTTCAAGAGTTGTGTGGGCCTGTGCAGTCTGACCTCACCATCTTTGCCAGAGCAGGCACCTTTCTGGATTTAGGCTGCTGAGTCCTTTGTTGTGTCTGCTCGTTGCTGTACTTCTGCACCTTCCACACAGGTCCAGGCCTTTGCCACTGCTTCCAGTGGACCTCTCCCTGCAGTTTTCCGAGCAGCTTTCCCCTGAGCATGCACTTTCTCCACTTTTTTTCTACTATCTTCTCTTAGCCTAGAGCAGAATGTCCCATCACTGCTCTGTCATATTGGAACCTCCCTTCTGCCTCTTAAAAGGCAGATCCGCTACTTTCTGATCCTGGGTTCCACCAGTTCCGATGGGAGGTGCTCCTTTATCTTGTTCCTGTGCCCCACTGGGTTCTTTGTATTTCAGGGATGTGTTCCCAGGCAAGCTGGGATGGGCTAGCCACCCACAGGGCAAGTTGTTCAGTGGCACCTTATGAGGCCACCTATCCTGAGATGTTCCAGGATGAAAAAGGAAGCAAAAATATCCATCTCTGAATCCCGGGCATGATACCACAGAAATGTAGCAAGAATATTGGATAGAGCCATGGGACACCAAGGATCTTAATAGGAAAACTACATTTATTTTTGCTTGCAATCCCAATCAATTTGGTATCCAGAGTATGGGCCCCAAACAAAACAGGGCATTGTCTTATATACCCTGGCGCAAATGACTTTAAGGTTTCTAATAATCAGTTATACAACATTTGATTGGCTATCTTAGAGGTACACATTACCCTCACAACCATCACACAAAGTCATACCTGCTTGCACCCAAATTTCTGCAGCTGACCTAACTCCATCACTTCAGTTGACCTAATTGCAATTGCAGTATTTCTCAGAAAGCTCTGTCAATCCCCTGTTCCGAGAAATCCCCCACTTAAAAGCCTCCAGCATTTTTGCCTTTAGTCAGTTTTTTCTTCCTCTACACACTGATACAAAAATTCCTAACTTATCATACCCCAAATCCTGTTACAAGATCACTTAGGGTTATACATTGTGGCACAGTGGGTTAAAGCACCACTTTGGAAGCTGGCAGCCCTTACCAGTGCCTGTTTCAAGTTCTAGTCACTCTTTGTTTCCCATCTAGTTTCTTCTGAATATTCTTGGAAATTCATAGATGGTGGCCCAAGTGCTTTATTTCCATTCACCTATGTGGGAGACCCAGATGGATTTCTGAGATCCTGGCTTCAGTGACTTAGCTGGGGCTGTTGTGAACATTTGGGGAATCAAGAACAGATGAATGATCTCTCTATCCCATATATATATATATATATATATATATATTTATATATATGTATAGTATATATACATATATATAATATATTCTGTTACATTGTCACTGTGGCTTTAAAATACATAAATAAATCTATTAAAAGTATCATTCACCATGATAAAGAGTGATTTAACCCAGTGATGAATGGATGGGTAACATATGCAAATAAATAAATGTAATATATCACATCAACAGAATGAAATTTAAAAATCATCTGGTGTAGAAAAGGCATTCAATAGCCTTCATCAGTAACATTCATCAGTAACATTTATAATAAGAAGGAAACAGTTGACAAAATTAGATATAGAGGGGAAGCACCTCAACATAATAATGACTATAAATGATAAACATACAGTCAATATTCTGCTGAGTAAAGAAAAGCTGTTATCATTTTCTGTAAGATTTGAACAAAATAGGGATGTCCATTCTCTCTGCTCTTATTCCATATGGCACTAGAAGTTTCATCCAGAGCCAATAGTCTAAGGCAGGAAATAATAGGTAGACAAATAAGAAAGGAGGAAATCAAATTATCTTTGTAGATTACATGACTGCATATATAAAGAAACCAAAAGGCTCCATGAAGAGACTGTAAAAACATAAAGTTGCAGAAAGCAAAAGCAATACACATAATTCAGTAGCATTTTTGTTGCAACCACAGGTACTTTAATTTTTAAAAACAAATCATATATTTAAAAATAAACAGATGGCAGGATTCTACTCTAAAGTTGATACAAGTAAAATAAGAGTTACAGTTCTGTCTTAGATAATCTCAATGTCTACATGCACTTCAAAGTCAGTGTTTTTGTAGGTAAAAACACTACTATCAAAGATAATATTCTACTGGTAAACTAATTTACCTGAAAAGGTTACACAACCCAGTTTAGTTTTATTTTCAAAAACAACATTACACAGCACACTTTTTCACAACAAAATTGCAGCACACAAGTCTGTGTTTCCTGACTCCTTAAATTGTCAATATAATGCCCCTGCTAACAGCAAAACAAAGGTATGCAATTCCTTAGGATTAGAGGTCATCAAGTTACACTGTCAGTGGTCTTGGGGAAACAAGAAAACTAGAGCAAGTATCTATTATCTTTGTATTTGGACCCAACTTTGCCACATAAAGTAAAGCCACGAATAAGATAAAATGTCTAGTCCCTGAAAACAGTCATTTACATAGAGAAACCCACCCAATGTAGACATACCAGTGTTAATATTTGTGGGAACAAGTTTACTTTATGTGAGCTATTAGGGGTAAGAAAGTACCCTTCCCCTCTGCCAAAATGTAGAGCTATAACACTGCATCTTTGCTCCCTTGCTGAGCGATCAGAAGGCAGGTGCAACTTATGTTACAAATAAATCATCAAGTTTAAGGTCGTAGAACAGCGGCACACTCCCGACATATCTGTCACATATGCCCAACATTAAGGAAAAAGTCAGTGTGGGGTCTCCTCCAGCTAACTAGTGTTGTGAGTGGCTGCAAAGGAGGAGGCCCCACCAGGCCACAACAGCTGGGGGTCAAGGCCAGGGAGGTGGAGGGACTGTTAGGAAACTGGCAGTTTTAGCCAGGTGGCTGCATGGCCCAGCTACCTGAGCCAGGCTCCACCCCCAACCTAATGGGATTCACTGCTCCAGCTTCCCTGCCCGCCCTCAGGCGAAGTTTTAAAAGGGCCTGTTCCTGCACAGGTGCTCTCTTGGTATCTTCTCTCCTTTGCTCTCTTGGCCTCTCTTGGCTTCTCTCCTCGCTCTTCTCCCTCCTCTGTCTCTCTCTCACAGTCTCCTTCTCTCTTTTTCCTTTGCCGCCCCTTCACTCT